TTGTATGATTTTGAGCATCATTGCACGGAGTCATTAGCATATATTGGCGTTTTTGGTTGTTACTGGCCTATTTGCTGAGCCTCAGAATGAAACATCTTCTATTATTTGGTATTTTGCATAAAAATTAGGGTTATGGAACGAGGATCGAACGAGCAGACAGCTCTGTAAACATAACAGCGAGTCCACGGTGGAAATTAGGACCGAGTATACGGGATGACTTCATCGTATCCAGTAAGTTCACACATCGAAAGACAAAAGAATAAAAATCGGACAACGATATTCAAGTTGAACAGCCACGGTACACCTGTCCAAATAGAATGTATAGTAACGTGATGACGTCACACTGAGTCAGGGCAATGCATCAGCAACACTTAGGACGCAATTCAACTATTATATAAACTGGTCCAATTGGCGGGATCATATCCCCATATTGACTGCTCCAGTTGCAACCTTGTCGTTTGTTGCGGTGACCGCTTGTTTCTTTGGCAAATTAGCCACAAGCAGTCACTATGATGGCATTTGTACGTCTACCACTGTAGCCATCAAAGAGAGATCTCAGCGTGCATTTCCAAACGGATTCAAATATTTTGCTGTATTCTGCTTTTATCTAACCAAAAAGTGTTGGAATCGGTTTTTGTCTCCAGTTTCCCTCAAAGTTCAACTTTCCAAACCTCATTTGCAACACAATGGCTGAGTCAGTAGTTCAACTACGTTGCGGCGTGAAGGTACGTAGTCGCAACATCGAAAGAGCAATAAATTTCTATAGGGCGATTAGTACTAACAGATTATCTTGAATAGAATGATTCGTGGGGAAAGAAAGGAAAGGAGTCTGTGGCGGCACAGCTATGGTCGAAGACGCCGAACAATGCACAGATCGACGACTCTAAGCATTACTCAGAGGTAACGACATTACGCCGACTGTTCAGTGACTGGAATTGTTCGTTTGCTGATCTTCACATAGATGTGGATGGGCACATACCCTTCCAACCCATCCTATCTCCTGTCAACAGGCGAACATCTGGGAGAGTACCTGAAGAAGAACCCGCAGCTTGTCGGAAAGTCTGTTCACGATCGATGGGGACCAGAAATTCCTTTCCTACCAAAGGTATAGTGAACGACATATTCCACATACTAAGGCTAACAGATCAGATCCTCTCATTCAGCAAAGCCCTACCTCTACAAATCCACCCGGACCTCACTCTCGCCGCGAAACTACACAAAGAAGATCCGAATAAATTTGGCGATACAATGCACAAGCCAGAGATCGCAATCGCGCTGTCAAAATTCGAGCTCTTCGCCGGCTGGAAGCCACTGAGAGACATCCAAGCCCTCTTCGAACTAAACCACCTGGGAAAGTTCGTGCCAAAGCCAGGACAATTCAACGACGAGACCCTACGACAAACATGCAAGGCCCTGCTGAGCGCACCACCACAGACAATCGCAGAGACAATCAAAGACCTACAAGAAATCCCAGAATCCCAATTAGGAGCACAATCCTACATCCCAAGTCTGCTCGGTCGACTGGTCAAACAATATGGCGAAGGCGACAACGGCAACCTCGTCGCCGCCCTCCTGATGAACTATTTAACCCTGGGACCAGGAGACGCAGTCTTCGTCCCAGCAGATAGCATCCACGCCTACCTAGAAGGCGACATAGTAGAATGCATGGCGCGCTCAGACAACGTCATCAGCACGGGTTTCTGTCCAGCCGCAGAACGCGACAGTGTCGAGCTATTTGGGCAAGCGCTCACTTTCGTGCCTCACAGTGCCCAAGACGCATTCCTGCCGCGGAAAAAAAGTGACAAGGGCATGAATGGCAAGACGGACGTTTACGCCCCGCCTATCAGCGAGTTCAATGTTCTGTGCACTACACTTGGGGCTGGTGAGAAGGAGACACATAAGTCCATTTTGGGGCCGAGTTTGATGATTGTTACTAAGGGCTGTGGTCACATGAATATTCCTGGTGACAAGAGTGTCGAGCTGAAGGAGGGTTGGGTTTTCTTTGTCGGGCAAGGTGTTGCGTTAGAATTTACCACTGACAAGGGCTTGGCTGTGTATCGTGCGTATGCGGAGTAGGAGGCTGAGCTGGGGTTTTGGGGTGAGTTGGATATGTTGGGTATTGGAGATTGAAATAAAAAATGTGTTTTATTGCGATATCTTCTGAAATGCCTTAGTTTTCGGATGGGTTTAAGTGTCAATTGTATTGTCATTGGCCTATGTATGGTGAAGCCCTAATGTATATCTTTCCTGAACTGGTAAGAGATAACACGTTCGAACAACGAGGCGTTCAAGGCTGATTGACATCTCAAACGCTAGAGAAAAATAGGAAATATTAGCAAACAGGCTGTGATAGCCATTTACACTTGTTTAAAGTGGTGTTGGTATCGGGGTCGAGGTGATTCGCTAATCTTCGGAGGCGCCCAGTTAATGCACGCCGGCACTGTTGGTCACCGCTATAATTTACCTGCATTTGCAGTTCTATTTTGGACATTTGGGCACTTTCCGACCATGCTAGCCCCGCATTAGGTCGGAGGCTAATCATGGCTAATTAAGTATCTATCTATAGCTAATATGGCGAGTCGCGGTGTCTCAAAATATCCATGAAACAGGGACCGTGTGTCAGATTAAGCCTTGAGCTTGATAGCTCAGGGTCTATATATCCGTATTCGCTCTTCGTATTGTTTGTCTGTTCAGCTTCCAGGATTGAAGCTCTGTCCTTTGGGCCTTCCAAGTCTGGTACTTGTGTCTTAATTGTTTGGTCTATGTACCAGATGTTTCTATCCCGACGAACATACCCCTGTTGAGACATACAATACCGGGATATGTCCATTAAATCCGCTCTTGAATCAGGCAACAATTCATCTCGGACCCCGCTTATTGTGCTCGGCGTAATAGGCGGAACCCTCATCTTCCTGGCAAGTAAGTCTGCAGCTAGAGCCGCAAGTCACCGCGCCAAACTAACCCCAACAGTGACTGGCAGTCTGCTATACTTGTTCTCCCGCAAGGAGCGGGCCAGACGACGGAATGCGCTTGCACAAGAGGACGAGGCCTTCTCTCCCCTGCAACCACCCCCAGCATACAAAGTGGACGACCTGAGAGCGCCTCGAGGTCCCCACTCTGCACATCCCCGGCCGCTCTCCTCCTTTGCGCCGGACTTCAGTCGACAGGAACATCAATTTCCGCGGGCATCATATGAACAGCCCCCGCCTTATCCAACTCTACCGACATATGACCCCTCCAGATACCAACCAACTCGACCCATACCAACCGAGTTCAATCCACATCCACATCCCTATACCTATCACAACCAGTCCATCCCCACCCCCCAGGGCCCGTCTTCCCGCTTGAGCGCCGTGCATTACAATGACGCCAGACAGTCCCTGTCCCTGTCCCGACCGCTGTCAATGGTGGGACAGGTCCCTCCGGGTCCAGGACCTGTGCCTGCCCCTGTGCCCAGACCGAGGCGCCAAACGGCTATGCCTCCACCTCCTGAACAGCGGCCAAGACAGGAGGGCCGCGAACGGAGTGTGTCTGAGCCAATGCTACTCCAACCTGCAGGACCAAGACGACCTAAGCCTGTCCTGTCGCGGCTGATCACCAATTTCCGTTGAAAATGTGACCGTGGCTTGAGGGCTTGTTTTTACGACTATCACGAATTTCTGCTTTTGATTATTGTTGCGTTAGGGCTAAGATATGGGGGAATGAAGCTTATCTTCAACTTGGGTCTTCAGGGTATCTTCAGTCAAAATATGCAAAATGCAGTATGTTACTGTACAATCCCTATGTCTCAAGTACTATACATGTTGGTAAATCGGAGGATTCGGAAAGTACCTCACCCCGATCGCCTATACACGATCGATGCCATTGCTGATCTCTTGTCGGATTGTCTCCGTTTAATCTGTCTGATCATCCCGCAATTTCCCCTTTGGTGCTGTCGGCGCCTATCGTAGCCTGTGAATGGGGATGTCAAACGCCTCTCATGAGCGTGGCGGGACGATCATATGGCCAATGTCTTAACTTATAGATTAGTCCTTTGTGCGCAATATCCAGTGAACAGCCCACTTGGCAGGGATATGCACGGTGAAACACAGTGACTACACTACGGTGACTACACTACTGTATAGTACTAGTAGCCATGGCATCCCCACCCCCTCTTTTAATCCCTGCATCTTGTCTCTCTTCTCTCTCTCTCAGCCAGATGGCTGTCCCTGCCACTATCTCAACCCTGCTGCATCCCTGAACAGAGGATAACATGTCTAGTCACAGCCCCCAGACCACATCTCGGTCATGTTGGATATTGGTGCGCATGCAGATCCCTCGACAAGCGCCACGCCAAGACAATGGCCAACGACTATGCATCAATACACGCACACTACAGTGCAACCTATCGCTACCTTGAAATCTGTCAACGCAAGTTGACTGCGCCGCAACCTCTCCTTGACACTCGGGGGAGAAACAGACAAGGGTCTCAATCCACTCCTACCCCTCTCGCGTGCATCCTTTACGCACACTGCAGCTATCGGAGCCTCTCATTCACGGCGACCCGCTTGGGTCCTTCTGCCTGGGGCTTTTCTTTATTATTCCTTTTTCTTTTTCGCCTGTGGCTCGTCTATTATCCCAGATTCCGCCTCGGGGGCTATCAGAGGGGTTTACCCGGAGTGCTGGGCTCGAGTCTCCAATCGCTAGGCTCCCAACACGTTAAGCAATTTCCGAGATCGTCTCTTTTCTTTCCAGACATGCGTTGACTAATCTCCATGGACGGTCTTGTCCTGATATAACCTCAAGGCCGTTTGCGGGCCCTTACTTTTTCCCTCTTTGTTTCCTTTTGGGCTCTGCTCTGCGTCTGGCCTGTCACTTTTTGAGATCCCCACGCTCTCGGTGGGGAGTTCGGTCTGCTGTGAGATGAACAACACATTGGGGAGTGATTTGTCCTCCCTCTGGCACCTTTGTCCCTACTGCGTCACCCTCAAGTGTTCCCTATGAGGAATCTTTTTAAGGCCATGGCGACCTTCATGAAGAAGTTCAAGAGGAAGCGCAGACTCTCGACTGAGCTACACTCTCGTTGGGGCGATGTTTCTATCAGCTATCCCACTCAAGGATCCTGGAACCAGTGGAATCAACCGGCGGGATTTGTCGCCGATGCACCAAGGGCCTCACCAAGCCGTCATCGCGGTGATGGGCAGCGATATACTCCAGCAGGCTCAGTACGGCAACAGAGTCCTAGCTCTATGAATCGGCGATCCCAAAGCACAGGCCCTCGAGGATCCCAGGTGGGACTCCAACCGCCCTTTCCCACAGGGCATTTTGACGAAAACATCCGGCGTCGCGGAGGAGAAAGAGAGAACCGCCCATCGCCAAATCAAGGACTAGGAATTGGCGATCTCCGAAATGGACCAAGTGGACGCGTATCAAGCCGTCGCGCTTCCAGTTTGCGCAGCGACGAAAGTATCGTTGATGATTCTTGCGACGAAGAGGACGAACAACGAGATACATTAGGCGTTCCACCAGCGCGATTGAGCCCTCGCGATCCTCGAGACTACGAGAGTGATATGTCGCACACGCCACGCGAAACCATTGATTATGATATCGCGGCGAAATCTCCACCCCTCTCTGTAACCTCGCGCATGCGCCGTTGCAGCTTCCAGAGCTGTGCGACGGACCCGATGACCTCTGCGTCTGGCGCGCCTAGCTCCAGACGAACCAGTTATACTGCTGCTTCCTCCGTCTCTGCTCCCTCTATGCCACCCTCTACTCCCCGATTTGCATACAACACTGCGAACTATGCTCCTGCGAACTATACTCCCTTCCCGGAGAAGAGACATCCTCCCCGGGCGAAGCAGCAGGAACCTGAGACCACGCTTCGGCAGGAGATGGTCCCCTCTTACGATGAACTATATGGTTGAAATGTTATGAACAAGCTATGGGATGTAGATATCGTTCGTTGGTGGTTGGTTTGAATACTTTTAGTAAGCGGTGTTTGGCAATACGCCAATTCGGAGTCGGCCCAAGTTTATTTAAGATTAATTTTGCATTTCGGTGGTTTGCATGAATTTATTCATATTATTACTCTAGTTGTGTACAGAATGGGGAATAATCTCTAGGCTGTCCACGTCTACTCAACTTCCTGCCTCATTAGTATGGGATGCTTGGCACTTAAGAAGCGGCATTTACCTTCTTTTCTTTTTCCCGCATACTTTCTCTCTTTTGCTCTCTTTCCCTTTCTTTTCTTTTCTGCGCGCCGATAGCCATTTCGAATATGTTCAGCGAAAAGAGGGGAATCTGCGCCCGTGCATATGCAGAGTGTATCACAGTCACAGTCACCAATCAAGCGTCAAGCACCGTCACACTCGTCACGCCCCCGACGTATCGACTACAAGTAGGATGTGGCCCATCCCCAACTGTTCTTTGCCAAGGTGCAATCACCAACCAGCCTGTGTGAGGTGGTCTCTAAGCGCCGACCAACACTGGGAGAAAACGGGGCTGCATGATTCGACCGCATCCTCGCCATTGCCTGTCCCAAGCATTAGCAGCTCTGCAGGTGCATCAGCAGTGCGGAACTTCCCTGCCCGTCGATTCAATTGCTCCACTTGGTCATCACATCCATACAGAGACCGCTAGAGCTGGCTCACAGTGAAAAAAGAAGCTTTCCCGCCCTGAGCTGTCTCGAGTCCCAAGTTACTGTTACCGTTTCTCATGCGAACGTGATCGCTCACCTACGGCGCTCTGCCTTTACTTCCCCCCCTCTCTCCTTGGCGGTTGCTGTAAGAACAGAAGTTGTCGCTCTGTTCGCTTCGATCCAGTATGCTTGGGCTCTGGGAAGGTATTCCACGGTCTTCCAGCATGCTGGCTATCCTTCTGGCTGCGGCTCCAGCGGTTTTGGGACTCAGAACTACAGCCGGTTCACCCTGTACAGATGTCTGTGGCACAATAACCAACACCACATCCTCTGAGATTTCATGTCTTGATCAGTCGTATAACACAACCTCCACCGGGAAGGATTTCGAGAAATGTATATCATGCCAGTTGGAAAGTGACTTCCACATTTCTGCAACTGGAGAATCGGATGTTGACTGGGGACTGTGTATGTCGTGCCACCTCCGAGAAGCGCAAATGTCCGATCTAGCGTCAGAACTAACAGATTGAACCAGATAACCTGCGATATGCCTTTTCAACCTGTGTCTTCGGATATCCAGACTCAATCTCCAACACCTCCTCACCCTGCCCAGTCGCGTGCGACGGTGTTCGGCCTGCTGTAAGAACCGACATTGACGATCCCAGCACGTCGAATCTGCACTCCTGGTGCGACGATGTCTCTTTCGCCGACAATGTCGTCAACACATGCGAGTTCTGCTACAATCTGACCACAACCCAAGTCTACATGGCGAACTGTATGTATCTCCAAGTCAGCAATCAAAACCCAAAGAACTGAAAAACCAACTAATCATCCAAACCAGTCCTCGAATCCATCCGCTACAACTGCCATTTCAAAACAGCCACCGGCAAAACCTTCGACATAGCCCCATCCCGAATCTTCACCCAGTCCCTCCTCCCCTCAAGTCTGTCCCTGACAACCCCAACCTCAGGCGGCTCAAACGTGAACCTAGGCGTGGTAATCGCCGTCCCAATCGTAGGATTCCTAATCATCCTAATCGCCCTAGCAACATGTTGCTTCTTCTTCATTCGGCATCGCCGCAAGAAGGCCCGCCGCACCCGCCAGTCGCCCAGCATGTATAACCAGTGGAACGACCCGGCCCTCGCTGCCCAATATGGGGACCAGCAGCAGGGCTGGGCGAATGCTGGGTATGGATATGGGCATGGGTCTGGCTTTGGCTTTGTTGATAATGATGGTCGTGGGCAGGAGCTTGCGTATCAGGGTCAGCAGTCGAAGGGTGGTTTTTCGCAGGGTGTTTTCGAGCAGTCTGATGTGCAATATCAGCAGCAGGCTTATGAGCAACATCAGATTTATCTGCAGCAGCAGCAGCAGCAAGGTCATGTTCCTACTACCCATGTGCATGATCCTGACAAGAAGGTTCCGCAGCAGTGGGAGTGATAGAGATAGCTCGTCTGTTTCTGTTTCTGCGCTGCTGAATAGAAATATTCATTTGGTGTTTTCTTGCCTTCGGGTAAGAGGCAACCGAGGGACTTGTGCTATGGGTGGAACATAATGAGATCAGGATATCAGCTCACATCATTGTCGACGGCGTTGTTTCATGTGTTTCGCTTTGGGTCTTGTTTTTTTCATGGAGTTGTTCTGAGTTGATCTGCGCCTACTGCACCGATATATCCCCGGCATGAGTGTGTGTCGTCTGTGTGTCTTGGCTTGAATGTATGTCGAATAGTCGAAAGTCGATAGTCGGTTGTCAGTTGCCAATAGTCAATAGTCGAACGGCCAAAAGTCCACAAGAAATCAAGCCAACCTAAGTAAAGACCCAAAGAAAGAACAAAAAATGTAAGAGAAAAGTACAAAACCCTTGTCTCGACACTATTTACAACCAAAAACCCCCACGATAAAGGGCGCCAACCCCAATATAAGTACTATCCCCCAACCCAACCGCCAGCAACAAAAGCATACCGCCCAAATCCCAAAATAGCACCCGACCCGCCCAAGAAAACGCCCACACCCAAAACACAAACCTACACAACGCAGATACGAGAAGATCGGCTACGATGACCTCTGGGCACCGCTGGACAGGAGTCAAAACCACCTGTCACAGGAGCGCATTGGTCCGCGGGCGTTCTGTAGGCGTTTCAGCACGCTCTGCCAAGGGTCCAGGGATCCAATGAGGGGGTTGTCGATCTTGAGGTTATTTTTGGATTTGGGGGTTGTTTTCTTTGTGCTTATTTTTGGCGGGTTTGATATCGGTTTCGGCCGAAGGGGTGTGTTCGTAGCGCTTTGTTCGGGGTTTTGCTGGTCGTAGTAGTTGTGTGGTGATAGGTGAAGATGTACTGTAGAGGCTATTTGCGCGGAGTACACCTGGACTGTTCGCCGTGGGATTAATTGGTATCTACAGTCTTGAAGTCTTATTCCTGGCAAGGTGTATTATTGCTTTCATTGTTGAATACTGTGTGTAGAGAATTAGTGAGACTCTAAAAAGAAGTATCGTCTGTGGATTGCAGATGGCTTGTCAAGCAATAAGATAACTCTTTGCGTCAGATCTGACGCCGTAATCCCTTCAGAGGCTCCATTGGGAGGTATCACCATCCCATCCTTCTGCTCCCCATCGTTGTCCATCAGGTGGCCTGGCGAGGTCAAACAAACCCACGCCTCTTTTCGCAGTTTGCTATGCAGGCTCTGTTCTTCCCAAGGGTCCAAGGTTCAACGCTATTAAATGCCATACTAGATCCCACAGAAAATGAACAGGTCTGCTCGAGATAGAACAGTCGGAGCTGCTCGAGTGAGTGGCAATTTGGAATGGTTTGAAGAGCTTCATTGGTAACGTTATATTAGAGACATACATGAAGGAGGTACATTAGAGAGACGTTTCAAAGGCATTTTGAGGATTGAAACATTACTATCCACATTGTACGAATCCTAGTCAAGCCAGAAAATATAAAAAATAAATATGTAGTGCAGTCCGTAGAAGATCTGCGGCCGGTGGATCTACAAGCTTCTCACCTATCCGCAACTCTCTTCCCCGACAATATCCTGACACCCATCGCCCACCATGTCTACCCTCACTCAAGAACAAATCAAAGTCCTCGAGCAAGCACGTCAGCGACTCGTACAGCTCACCCGCTCACTGGGCTCACTAATTACCAGCCTACACTCAAGCGACCCTCTTCCGCCGTGGTAAGTCCCAGCACTCCAGCTCGCCCACCAACCCAATGACAAAGAACAAAACCCCCAATGCAAACCCCCAAGACCAGCATACTGACAAGCCCCAGGTCCTCCCTCCAATCTCAAGCAAGCATCATCTCCAACAACCTCCTCAGCGTCTCCGAACAACTTTCCGAGCAACGCGACCTCTTCACCTCACTAGTCGCCTATCCGAGCCCTGAATACCCAAGCCGCACACAAGCACCCACTCTCGAACAACTCCTCCGCACAAAACTCGACCCCCGCGTCGAAGACTGGGTTGCGCGCGGCCGCGCCGCAGGCACGGAAGGCGGTCTGTCCCAAAGTACCATCCCGTCCCCGTCGCGCCTTGTCGAGGCTGAAAGTGCCGACCACAAACTCAGTGAGGCAGAGCTTGCGCAGCTATGGGAGTGGGCGCCGCTTGAGGCGAACCAAGAGGCTAGACGGAGGAATTGGGGCGGGAATTTCACCCTTGAGGAGCGGGAGAGTGGGATTCAGAATGTTGTCACTGGGTTGAGGAGGCAGCTAGAGGATGATTTGGGGTCTGAGGAGGAGGAGAGTGAAGGGGAAGGGGAAGAGGAGGAGGAGATGGATATTGTTGGTGTTCATCGGAAGTCTGTTGGTGGGGGGTTGGAGTTTGATATTGCTGTGAGGCACCCGCATCCTGTGCAGCCTTTTGTGCCGCTGGACGATATTCTGAAGTATATGACTACTGGGCGCATGCAGTAGCTTCTTCGGTCTATTGGGCATTGGGGGTAGTGCTATCTACGAGACGGCGCATACCGGGTTGCACTCATGGTTCTACTTGAGCTCCATCTTGATGAATACGACTTGACGTGGCTGCCCTGGCCAATGAAATGACAACAGAAAGCGTTATTAAAGACATAACCTAACCGGAAAAATAGAAAGGGTCCAAGAAGAAGCTATTCTCTAGCCCCGTCGGCGGGTGGTGGGGGTCTTTGCGCCTCCCTTGGGCGATGCTCCAGTGCTCTTGGCTGACGGCACCTTTTCGGCGACCTTTGTGTGGGAAGCCTTCTGCTTGGGCGCCGGAGCATTCCAGTACCAGAGCATTTGTGTGGCGAGGATCACGTTGAGGGAGAAGCCAGCGATGAATCCGTAGAGGATGAGCTTGTCGTCGACTTCTTGGAGGGTGGTGAAGATGCGAGAGAGGGATCCGGCGAGGTAGTTGAAGACCTAGAAGAGACAATAACTATTAGTATACGGCGAGAACGTGCGTACTGCGCAAACATAGACTTACCGCGAATGCGCTCAGCTGTCCGGTTCCTCCTTCGCGCCAGATGGTATAGATCTGGGGCGCCTTGCTAGCAACACCTAAGGCACCCGCACCAGCCTGCAGGTAGGCCATGGTCTGCGCATCCACAAGGGTCTGATCAAAGAGCAGAGCGTACACACTAGCAGCGACAACAGCCACGAAAGCCGCAGCCGCCGCAGAGCGCCCAGCATAGTTTAGAACCAAAACACCAACGGCGATATCCTGAACGGCAATGAGAGCAGTCTCGCCATATGTGCTGAATGGGAACTGGTTGCGCACGCCGTAGGAGAGGGTGATGAGCAGGCTGGCAGTTTCAAGGGCGTATGAAACGAACGAGACACCGGCCGAGGAACGGGAGCTGATCAGCTTCAGGATCTGCGGAATCTTGACAACTGCGCTGGCACCAACGATAGCCAGACCTAGGGCCTTGGAAATGGCCAGCGACGTGCAGGCAGGGTCCTTGGTGACATCGAGGTCGAGGAGGAGCGCGCTGTGGCAGGGCTTTCCGATCAAGGACACGACGGCATCGTGAACAGGTTCAGGGATCGCGGAGACAATAGGCTCCAGGTAGGGCTGCAGGGGAGCAATCACGGAATTCTGAAGGAGGTCCATAATGGTATCGTTGTCTAAAGAAGTAGAGAGGATCATGCCACAGAACAATGTTGACATTCACGGATGTGGCCCGTGCACCGGGGAAATTCAACTTCTCTCGTCCACTTTTCTTCCTTCTGCACCGACACGCCATGATCCCTCTGCGGCCGTCCATGTTGAGGCCTCGAGAGGCGCTTGTATGCTCGCAATGTCTGGTTCGGTCCCGTCATTCACAGCCCTCCGCCATTCGGGGTTTCCTATCGTCATCGAAACGACGGACAGGTATCGCGGATGACCAGTCTCCTTCCGCAATTCACAAGACATATTTCTCGGCCAATCGATTATTTGATGGATCAAGCAACAGAGGAGGACTGCTATCTTCACTTGCATCAAAAAGTGCCAATGCCAAATCGACTTCCGATTCGCCCAGCGGTGCTTCCGCAAGTCCGGCCGATGCGTCTGAAACAGCTTCGTCAGGGACAATCGCGACAGCAGCAATCTCAGAAGAACTACCACACCGGCGGAGGAAGCGTTTGAAGGAAGAAAGCAAAGAAACGGGGAAACCTGAACCCACAATTCCTCTGGATGCCTCGGCGCAACTGTCGAACTTCTCGTCCGCGCTCCCCACCACCTCCCTCCGCCGCAAACTGGCTGCATATCTCGCCCTGACAAAACCCCGACTGTCTTTCCTGATCGTCCTCACTACCACTTCTGCATACGGAATGTACCCGATCTCGTCTTTGCTCACACTCGACCCGGCCATGACCCCACTCCCTACACTTTCGACCTCCACTCTGACCCTGATATACCTTACGGCGGGCACGTTTCTGTCATGTTGCAGTGCGAACACACTGAACATGATGTTCGAACCGAAATACGATGCGCTCATGTCCCGCACTCGCAACCGTCCGTTGGTTCGTGGCCTCGTCTCCAACCGGGGAGCTCTGTTGTTCGCCGTCGGCACTGCCCTTACGGGTCTCTCTCTCCTTTATGTTGGTACCAACCCGACGACCACCGCCCTGTCTGCCGCGAACATTTTCCTCTATGCATTTGTCTACACGCCATTGAAGCGAATCCACGTGGTGAACACTTGGGTTGGCGCGATTGTTGGCGGTATCCCACCGCTGATGGGCTGGATCGCTGCGGCAGGCCTGACGGCCACAATTGGCCATGACACCTGGCGCGACATGCTTTTCAGCGAAGAAAGCATTGGCGGGTGGCTGCTTGGTGGAATCTTGTTTGCCTGGCAATTCCCCCACTTCAACGCTCTGTCTCATATCATCCGTGATGAGTACAAGGCGGCTGGCTATCGGATGATGGCCTGGGTGAACCCTGCACGTAATGCCAGAGTCTCTCTGCGCTACTCCCTCCTGATGTTCCCTATTTCCATTGGCCTCTGGTGGTACGATGTCGTCGGCCCCGGGTTTTTGGTGAGCAGCACCGTCGCCAACGGCTGGCTGGTCCGCGAGGCGTACCGTTTCTGGAAACACCAGGGTGCTAATGGCACCGCCCGTGGACTCTTCTGGGCCAGTATCTGGCAGCTGCCTGCTCTCCTCGTCGGCGGCCTGATAACCAAGAAGGGTCTCTGGGACGGCGTTTGGAGGAATATCTTTGGGCATCCTGATGAGGATGATGAGGAATATATCTACTATGAGGACGAGGAGGAACTTGAAGGTACTGCCTCTGAAGGTAGAGAATCGGCGCCTCGTCTGTCATCGAAACAGACAAATACCAGTACTTTATCTACGGTATGAGAGACTTCAGATTTTCACTCTCTTCTGGGGATCCATTCCACTCTCCTTCCTTAGCACATTGAGGTGCTTCTCTTTTTCTCAAACTATATCTTGCTTCTCCGGTTTTGTCTTATACAGCGGTTTGGTGTGGCGTTTTCTATTTTTGTATAACACCAGTCTCACGTGGAACCCAGTTCCAGATTATATCGTTCCTGTTCCTTTCTTACACTGTACTTTCATGATACAATCTACAACTTCCAACATTCACCAGCATCTTATGCGCCAACTCGGTCCACCCGAAGTCTATGCTTCCCCGGTATACGAAAACAAATTCTTGGAGAAGAATATATTGACACATATTCACAAATTTAACACCAGGAAGAAAGCGGCAAAATTGCTACACTCCGAATCCCTCCCCCTCAGTCCTTCACACAACCACACAGACCACAGACCGCAGACATCTATCTAAGAAGAAGTGGAGAGACCAGCAGCCTTGATCAAGAACTGCGCAGCCTCCTTGGCATCGCTGCCATAGCTCAAGTGAGCCAGGACGTTGGCACCGTTCAAGCAGACGGGGTCACCAGTAGCGCAGTACTCCTTAACCTTGCTGCTGTCAAGCTTACCAACAGCCTGAGCCTTGAACGGGTCACCGAAGAGAACAGCACCAGAGACCTGGTCAGCAGAGAGGCTGTTGGCAGCATTGTGCACGACCATGGAACCCTGCGAGTATCCACCGAGAACGACCTTAGTCTTGGGGCACTGAGAGAGAGCCTGCTTGACGAGCTTGGCCATAACGGGACCACCGTTTGCGCCCAGCGCAACGTTGCTCTGGAAGGAAAAGGTAAGTTTCACGTTCCCAAGAAGAAAAAAGGGGAAAAAAGGGGAGAAGAGGGATTGATCATACCTCAGCAGTAGCCGCATAAGTCACACCCTGGACGGAGACATTGTCACCGGTCAAGGACTTCAACTGGGTAGCGACGGGGGGTCCAACGACGGAGCCCATGTTGCCCATCTCATCACTGCCACGGGCGAAAATGAAAGTCAACTCCTTGCAGCCGGCGTTGTCGGTGACATCGTTTGAGGTGATGGAACCGGAGCCTAGTAGACTCTCACGTTTAGCCTTGAGACTGGAAATGCCGGAACCACTGGGGATATTACTAAGGCCAGGGATGCTCAATCCGCTGCTGCCAGAGCTGCCACCAATAGAGGGAATGAGGGAGGTGAGGGCGCTGAGACCGCTGTTTGTGCCGGAGGTGCCGCCGAGGGCGCTGGTCAGGGAGGAGAGGTCGAACTGGCGCTTCTCCGCCTCCTTGGCATCGCGGCGGGCCTTGAAACCGAGGCCGCTGGAGCCGCTGGAGCTCAAAGAAGGAATGAGGGACTCGAGGGCGCCGAGACCACCGCTGGTACCGGAGCTACCACCCATAGAGGGGATGAGAGACTCCAGGGAACCAAGACCTCCGCTACCGGAGCTGCCACCAAGGGAAGGGATCAGAGACTCCAGAGAGCTGAGGCCACCGCTGGTGCCAGTGCTGCCACCAAGACCGCTGGTCAGGGAGGAAAGGTCAAACTGACGCTTCTCGATGTCACGGCCAGTCTTGAAGCTTGGAATACCGGCACCGCTAGGCAAGGCAGTAGGAGCGGGCAAGCTGGGAGTGCCGCTGGGCTCAGCACCAGAGCCTCCAAGACCAGGCAGGTCACTGAAGCTAGGAAGGCTCGGGGTGCCCGAGGAAGAACCACCGGAACCCCCAAGGTCAGGAAGGTCACCGAGGCCGGGGAAGCCAGAGCCAGAGCCGGTGGAAGAGCCACTGGACTCACCTCCCAGACCGGGGAAGAGGGAGGCCAGAGCGCCGAGACCACTTTCAGTTCCAGATCCACTGGAGCCGAAACCGGGGAATTGGCGGTTCTCGATCGTCTGTGTGGGAGCACCCAGGGCTGCGCCGGCGAGGGCGAGAATGACTGTGTTTCTCATATTGAAACGAATGAAGTAAAAAATGGCAACGAACGAACGAGAGAGACCAGCTCTGCGGTATACAAGGAACAAACGAAGGAATGGAGGGACTGAGGAGGGATGGTTCAGTGATTTGTCTAGAGGCGACAAGAAGACTGCTTTTATATTCTTCAACAATCACATCCTCAATGCCGAAATCACAACTGCCGAATCTCAATTGACCGAGGTTTGAACCGGATTCCATTTTGCGATGCAGTGATAGTCCGGAGAATGTCTACATCGAGTAACTAGTAATCCTCATGAAACAAAACGCCTTGCCCTGTTTCATCCTGGGATCCTGGTACCCGTAGCTGGAATTCGGCTTCGGGGTAGATAGATCCTAAAGTTGGGCCACATACGACTCGGAAATAGGTTCTTTTGCGTATATGTATGTGAAAATTGGTCTTCACTAGACCTTGAAGAGGAAGTCTTCCCCGTTGCTCAAGTCTTAAAAAATAGCCTGGTCCGAGTGATCATCAAACACGACAGATCAATTCTTAGATAGATGAGCCGACTGGGAGGTCATGCGGGTACAGGGCACAAACTGAAACAGCCATACAATTTACTTCATCGAGGCTGGGTGTTGGTAAGTGAAGGCGTCCGATGGATAGTTCTCAAAAATGAGACGTTCTTACCCGCATCGGGCAATTTGACCGTTGGCCCTAAAAGGAGCCACACGCTAGACAAGCCACAACGCCCAGCTGACCACAAATAAAGGATTCGGGTAGCCCTGTCCAGACGTGGGCCTCTGTTCCCGTTTCTGTTAGACGCATAATTAGCCTTTGATATACTTCGGGCCCGTTTCAGGTCTAATTCTAGCCTCACGTATTGGATGTATCGATTTTAGCCGGCCGGGCCGGGGATCCCTCAGGGCCAGGGCTGGGTGGTATGATATCAGATCTTTACGTGGGTTGACACGGATATAGTGAGATGCGTATTATGTCGGAATTTCTCAAGCTAATGGCTCGTAGAATGGTGGGTATAGTACACGGATATAGTACAAAAATTGGTACATGTAGTTCTCGTTGAGAACCGGAATACGCATGCCCATGCATCGGATATAAGCACGAATTCAGCGTGCTGATCTACTTCCTCAATTTCAGGTGGTAAGTCTCCAATGCTTGCTCGGTCATGGGACTCGGCGCCCCGACCATCGCGTCGTCGCCTCCTCTTCCGGTTTTCGGGAAAGCAATCACATCCCGCACAGATTCTTTGCCTAGCATTACAGCAACAAGTCTGTCAAAGCCCAATGCCAGACCCGCATGCGGCGGACATCCAGAGCGCAGAGCATCGAGCAGATGCGAGAAGTCATCCAACCGCTCAGCTGGCATTTTCAAGATTTCACGGAAGATGAATTCCTGGACCGCTGCATCGTGGATACGGCGACTTCCACCGCCCAGCTCGACTCCGTTCACGACTAGGTCGTAGTGGTCGGCCACGGCCTGCGTAGGGTCTGTGAGGAGGAGGTCGACATCAGCGGGGGTCTTGGGTGCGGTGAAGGGGTGGTGCGTTGAGGAGATGCCTGCTGCGCCACCCTGGCCTGGCTCTGAGTCCGAGGAGGGGGAGAAGAGAGGGAAGTCGACGACCCAGAGGAAGTCGAATCCTGTAGGGGCGGGCTTGAAGCCCGTCGAAACGCTTGAAGCGTGTAGTGCACGGCGTAGGTCACCGATAGGAGTTGAGCCGCCAGAGAAGGGGGCACGAGGTCGTGCTTGAAGGATGATCAAGTCACCGTGATCGGGGTCCAACAGCTCTTCGACATGCTCAGCGGCCTGGAAGCCAAAGGGCTGTAGTCCGCAGAGAGGCTGCTTGCCGTTGTAGATGAAGACACCCGGGCCACCGTCGGGGTTGTTGTTGAACGGCGCACCAGCAGGCGAGTCGAGGAATTGAGTGATGAATTTGTGGGTTTCGGCCGGATCGTTTTCGTTTCCTTCAAGCTTGAAAGCCTCCACGATGGGATCCTCCAAGTCAGAAATCTTGCCAATCAAATCCACGGGCAAAAGTTGATCAAGTCGAATAATTTCCATGCCGTATCTTGTGTCTGGCTTGTCAGAGCCGTACTTAGCCATGACTTCCTGATATGGGACCTTTCGGAATGGGCCTTCCGGGGCAGGGTCTTTCATCAACGATGACCAAAGTCGACGAATGACTCCCTCGATTGTACGCATCACATCGTCTCCGGTAGCAAAAGACATCTCCATATCAAGCTGAGTAAATTCTGGCTGGCGATCGGCCCTCAGATCCTCATCACGGAAGCAGCGCGCAAACTGATAATACCGCGGCAAGCCACTAGCCATAAGAATCTGCTTATACTGCTGCGGACTCTGAGGCAAAGCATAAGCCAATCCCTCACGGCGAGTAGGAACAATAAATTCACGCGCACCCTCAGGGGTAGACTTGAACAAGAGCGGTGTCTCAATTTCAAAAAACGGCGGAGACTGCTCCTCCAGCTCTTTCTTGCAGAGGTTATGAGCGCGGGCCCGGAATCGCAATGCCTCACGTAGCTCTGCATCCGAGCGCAGCTGTAGGTATCGCTGCTCAGGCGGGAACACCGTTTCGGGGGTCATAATGGTCTCTTTGGGGAAGTCGTTCAGAGGGTGAATCTCCTCCAATGCGAGCTCCCATGAATCCTCGGCGGGCTTATCGGCTGATTCCGAGGCTTTGGCTTTCTTCTTTTGTACGATGCCGCGCACAGCTACGGGGCTGTTTGCATTGAGGGCTTTGAGCTTCTCGAAGGCATTGTTCTTGGCGAATGCGACGACTTGCAGGCTGTGTTGTAGAGTTGGATCGGCCAAGCGCACGAACGACAGTTTCTTGGAAAGATCAGAACGCTGGCCAAGATACCCGTGTAGCACAACTTCGGTGTTTGGCTCGGCCTGTGCGAAAAATGTCTCGAAGTCATGAGTCGCCGGAGGGAAGTCGACTGTAGGAAATGATATACATTAGTCAAGGTTCAAAGTTGAGGACAGTGGACATTAGAAGGAAGCTTCAACATACCAGCCCGCTTATAAGCCTCTAAAAAAGCTGGAAGCTCTTTAGGAGGCTCCTGCAGCAGGCAAGCTCGAGCATGGAAATACCGCGGCGCATGAAGCGGCCGGTGGCATTGTCTCGGCAGTGCAGCAGCACGACCACGAAGAATATTCGAGATCTCAATATAACTGGACCTCAAACGCAAAGAGCGCATCGGCAGCACACCGATTGGCATATTGCAACGCTAAAACAAAGACAAAGCACAGTAGACAACAAGAGTCAGATCTGATCAAACCACAAAAACCGGCAGAACTGCTCCCCGCCCTGGGAGCGGACTAGCGCGGGCAGAAATAAAACCCGCGCGATTTTCTCTTTTTCTTTCTTTTCTTCATCCTTCCAAGTTTTATACTTGTGAGTCCTCCTGTGCCCCTTTGATCACTTTATTTGCATTTACTGACTGCTATTCCAGAATGATGAAAGCCTAGTGTGTTATATATGAGACAGTCTCTTCCCTCTGAGACGTGCGGCTCTCTTTCTTCGGAGAGCTTAAGGGCTGTACGACTCGAGGGGTGGGTTTGTGATATAGGCGTTCGGCATACCAACCTTGTTTACATGACGGACGCGATGAAGGCATCTCTGATCCTTTTTACAAACTTGAAGGTGTTACCACGGCGTTGAGCGGTGGTTGAGGCTGGTCCTCGTTGGAAGGGAATGGATGCTGGATTGGCTTTGAAGACATTGCTATCTGACAGTCGTCCTCTCTTCTGGCTTTGATATTTTATCTAGCTGGCCGTGGATCTTGTGTCCCTCGCGCCATGTTCGAGTGCTTTGACTCGGTGGTCATCACATGTAGCTTTGAAGCACCAAGCAATGAAATGCATGCATGGCAACAGGGGCTATTTCAAGACTACATGAGAGGATACTGTTCAAAGTTCTCGCAATAAAAAATCAACTCGCATTTGCATATGTCACAGTTTTCCAATCTGATGCATCTAAAACTGTACAAACTTGGTAACCACTTTTTTCTTTCAATCCCACACCACATTCACATCAACAACTCCAATCACTCAAAAATCATCTTCTCCAAAATTTCCTTCTCCCCACTATTCTCAACAAGATTCCTAAAAACACCCCCTTCAATCCCCATAAGATCCCTAGGCGTACCAAACTCCGCCGCCTTCCCAGCATCCATAACAAGAATCCGATCAAAATCAGCAATAGTGCTCAACCGATGCGCAATAACCAGCAGAGTGGTAGCATTGCGCCCAAACTCAGCCCGAATAGACGTCTGAATCAACGCATCAGTCTCCATATCCACAGCCGACGTCGCCTCATCCAGAACCATAATCTTCGGCCTGGATACGATGGCACGGGCTAGACAAAGGAGTTGGCGCTGGCCTTGTGAGAGGTTCAATCCTCCTTCAGAGATCGTCGCTGACAGAGATGTGAATGCGTTCGCGTTCGTCTTCTGTGTCTGTGCAGGCTCGGGTGTCGTAGCACCGGTATCACTAGGTTGACGGGGTGTGGCAGTCCGTGACGTGAGTGTTAACTCGTCATCGTCTGCTTCGGAAATGAGATGCACGCGCGCTAGTGCATCGTACAGTTCTGTATCACTGTATTCGTCGAACGGATCCAGGTTCGATCGGACAGTGCCAGAGAAGAGGACTGGGTCTTGTGGAATGATAGCAAGGCGACTGCGGAGGTCGTGCAGTTTAATTTTGGATACGTCCAATCCATCGATGACGATTTCACCGGATCTCGCCTCCAGGAAGCGGAATAGTGCGAGCGTTAATGATGATTTTCCCGCGCCTGTGCGTCCAACCACGCCTACGCGCTGGTTCTTTTCAACTGCGAAGCTCAGTCCGTTCAGCACGGGTGGGAGGTCTGGTGCGTAGCCCACGACCAGATCGTTGACTTCTAGTCGGCCCTCTGTTGGCCAGGCGGCTGGTGCATCTGCGCCTCCCTGGTTTTCGATTTCGATGTTGGAGTATTCGATGACGCGCTCTGTGGCGTTCATGTTTAGCTCAAGGTTGGCGTATTGGCGGAGGGCCATTGCGATTGCGGAGTTATACTGCAGTGTGAAGCTCAGAGCGAAACCAGCTAGGGACGCAGTGATACCGGGGACGTAGACGATGAGAGCGGCAGTGAGTGTCGAGAAGATGGCACCGACGACGTTCATGCGGAAGCCTAGCCAGCGGTTGAAGAGCCAGAGGTTCCACCAAGCTTGGGCATGGCGGTTGATCTTGCTGTACATGATTTCGATGTATGTGTCCGGTTTGCTGAAGGCGCGGATTGTGATCAGGCCCGCGAGACTCGAGCCGAATTGTTCAAAGACGGGGCTCTTGGCTGTGCTTTCTAGTCTTTTAATCTGGCGCGCGCCTGCTAGGTAGGTAAGGGATAGCTTTAGGCATATCAGTAGGAGGACCGCGGCGAATACTATCACCACTGGGGACACGAGCATTCCGGCTATCATAATTCCCAGGACCTCCAAGACCTTGCCGACGAAGAAGCCCATGTCGTAGCCGATTCGGGAGTCGAGCGAGTGGAAGTCTGCTGTGAAGCGATTGAGGATTCGTCCTAGTGGGACTGTGTCGAGCCATCGGAGTGGTGCGCGGAGGACGGCGAAGATTAGGCCGTTAAATAGGTTTCTTGAGGCTTGCACTGCTGCGCGGAGAACGAAATAGTATCGAAGTGATCCGGCGATGCATGCAATGACGGAGAGTGTAACGTAGATTCCGAGATACATGGCAAGGCTGTCGTCCTGTGGGGGTGGTGTCGGTTGCATGGTGTGCTGTAGTAGGACTTGGTACTGCTCAGGGTGTGCTTGAGTACTGCTCGACGATGATCTTGTCCAGATATTGATCCACCAAGCCTGAAAAAAATGTTAGTATAACTCACACACGGCGTAAAAGATAGACTCCTCGGCAGCCTTTGGGAATGTTCACTTACTCGTCCAACCATGAGAGCCGCAAATATCAAAAAGACCGACACAGTCATGATCCAGTATGCCACCGAGCCACCCATACCCAAGAAAGCACCATAAATCGCAAGTCGCACAGAGCCAATCTCGCGCTTCTCATCCTCGACAAACTTCTTCGGTGCAGGAGTGTTCTCTGGTGGATTCCCATTTCCATTGGAAGCATGGCCATTAGTATGACCATTTGCAGCCGTACTCGGCCGTCTATGAGAAGTATTGGAGATAACCTTCTGTAGGGTTGTCTCCTCACCATTCAAGAATTCACGGCTTTCATCATCAATCAAAGCATTATTTGCCTCTTCGGCAGCACGCTCCTCACGAAGGATATCCTCCAGATGATGCGATTCTTTGAGATCATCAATGGTACCTGCGTATTTGATGCGTCCATTCTCTAACAGAACAGAGTATTCCGTGAGAGGAAGACAGAGTGCAACATGGTGAGTAACCAGGACACGGGTTCGACCCTGTCCAAGCTCACCAGTGACTGCATGCTCGTAGACGTGACGGCCAGTGTGTGCATCCAAAGCACTGAAGATATCATCCATGATTAGGATCCCAGCCCGGGAATACAACGCCCGAGCGAAGGAAACACGCCAGCGCTGACCACCACTCAAGTTCACGCCATTGGCACCGATGTCAGTCAAGTCACCATCAGGCAGCATTTCGAAGTCTTTCTCCAAAGCACAAGCGAAGATGACCTTTTTGTAGCGCTCTGCATCGTCGGGTAGTCCATATAAGACATTCTCCTTGATTGTTGCATTTTCAATCCATGGGATTTGCGCAACATATGCAATAGCCGAGTCGATGATCCAGTTGGCCTTTGTTGCGAGATGGTCGTAGCGCTCCCTGATGGGAGGTGGAACAGGTGCTTTGACCGTTCCACCGACCACATCACATTCACCCAGAATAGATGAGAGGAGCAGACTCTTTCCAGAGCCTGTGCGACCAGATACCACGCTCAGGCTTTTTGTCGGGAACTTCAAGTTCATATCGCGGAGGACGAACCTGTCTTCGTTATCCTGTGCATCTGCCTCGGCAGGCCATGCGACAGAGGCATTTTCGAAGGCGATATAGTCCGCAGGAACTGTATTCACAATTTTCTCCGAGGTAGCCATGAACTTATCGATTCGATCGGCGCTGACCTTGGCCTCAAGACCAACAGACGTAAGCTCAGGGAGAACAGCCAGTGCCATCTCCAGCGAACTGAAAACGGACATGGCTGTAAAAGCCACAGAGGCTGTCAACCCGCCATGGATCATGGCATATGTAGCCAAGGAGACAGCAGACAGCCCGACAGGACCCAGAATCCAGATCGAAATCAGGCCAATATCGGCTAAGAATGCAGCCCATAATGCGCCCAGCTCTGTCTCTCGCGTCTCCCGTACCCGTGTCTGCCATTGTTCTTCCAATGCAGAGAACTTGATCTGCCGAATTCCTTGCAGCACCTCTGTGACGATAGCCAGCTTTTGGTCGCGGAACTTCATCAATCGATCTTGGGCATTCGAGTATTTTCTAGCGGCGTAGATGTTCAACGGCGTAACAAGGGCGGATACGGCAAGACCGGCAAAGGTGCTTCGCCAGCCGAGAATTTGAACAAGGAATCCGCAACCGATGATAATCTTAATGATGGCGAGGGGAATGATATAGTTGAAAGCAGCGAAGTCGGAGATTCGTCGCGCGTCCACAGCCGCAAGGTTGATAATACTCTGACGGCTCTTCTTGATCGCCTCTTCTGCATCTTCCTCGGCTTCCTGCTCAGCCTCTGCTCCAGTGGTTGGAGTATCAGACCCATTCTTCGCACTGGATTTCTTTGTATGCTTCGCATCCTTCCGACGCATAGCCTTGGCAAAGATAACCGCAGACAACTCGGCATAAATCGGCACACCAATTCGAGAATAAATAACCCAAAACAACCAAGCCTCAACACTGGACGAAATAAACATCAATCCGCCCAGCGCCAAAACCCACAGATACGACGCCCCAGCATTCCAATACGGAGTATTGCGCAATTCAAGCGTCTTAAGAATCTGAAACAAAGCAACCTGGGGACCGAAGCTCAAAAAGCAACATGTAAGAGTAAGTATCATCTGAACCGTCAACGCGCCAGCATGCGCAAAGATGATCCCCTTCCATATCTTGCGATCCTTCCTGGCCTTCTCGAATTTCTCTTTTAGAAAGCCTGCGCGCTTCGACGCAGGCAGTTTAGGGATATCATCGAGAGTGAGTGTACTTTTCTGCGCGGCATCATCTAGTAAGCCTGCAGCCCAGCTAAATGAGAACCGATTCAGCACGGAAACTGAATACTCTTGGTCGACCACTTTGTCTTCGTGGTGTACATCCGGGCGACGGGGTATCAACACGCAGAATAATGCGCGCAGAGATGCGCAGGCGATTTGCGATAATTGGAGGGCGATCCAGGTCCGGTCGTGGGGGATTACCCGGCGTGCATAGACGATCAGACCTAGTTCAACGCATGGAGCGGCGATTGCAATGATACTTCCGCCAAAGGCGAAGCCACCTAGGACGTAGCGGTATGTCGGTCGGGGTTCAGTGAAGAAGGCGATAGATTGGATAGCCAGGAAAGTCTAGAATATAATAACTTAGCATGTTTCGTTTTTAACTATGGTTCTGGTGATTTCTTGTTTCTGGGTCACTCACCCACACGCCGAACTGCAACCATTCCAGCAGGATATAATCCCCAACGTTGCCCATCAATGTCGTGAGAACAGCCAACGCTAACGTGATTAGGAACCCGGCAGCGGAGAATACCGCAATGGTAATTCTCTGCCATTTATCCGAAAACGCTTGGAGAGATTCCTCGGTCGCCTCGCCGTCTTCGTCGCGGTATTCATCCTTGGCTAGCAAGATGGGTTCGTAGTTGCGACTTTTGCGCGCAATGCGAGTCACGATACTTCGGATGGCTGGTATGCTATCCAGCGCGACTAGCGACAAGGCTAGAATGCTTGTCGTTGTGGAAGTTACCGCGTAGGGGGCCATTATTCATGTCGTCCCTGGCGGGGAGATGCACGAAAAAAAGAAAGAAGAAAAAAAGCGAGCGAAAAACATCATACAAGTAGCGTGTCTTATCTAGGTACACTTGGAGTTAGCGCCAGCCATGGAGGTAAGGTGACGGTGAGCGGGGAAGCTTAGACCGCAACTTGGTGACTCAGACGCGTTGTATACTTATATTATAGGTAGAAATACGGATAGAGGGGATAGTCTAGACGGGTTTGACTCACAATGACTGCATGCACGAAGTACAAGAGACCTATCGGCTGCTAAGCATCGGGGACCATATTGGGAATACTCCACTAGTGGATCAACGAGTCACAGATAAGTACGAAGTGCATATATGTACCTATGTACTGACTGTAGCCAAGAAACATATACCGTGGATGGATCAACTTTCTCTATTGTACTTCTAGTACGATACTAATGCAGGACAGGTCTCCACCCCCGTCTGGGCACAAAACCTTGAACACCCTCATCTTCAAGAACATGCAGTCCTAATCGCCCCGTAAGAACACTCCGCTCCACCTCCGGCCCGTGCACATGGAATGGCTCAAAGCCCCCGTCGGACTTCCGGCCCCAGAACTTCGACTTCGCCTTCCGCTTACTAGATTGTGAATGCTGCTCTGGACTCGGCTCGAATCCCGAGTTTATGCGATCCAGACTGAGATACCAGCGTCGTTGGTGGATCGAGCCTATGGTATTTGTGGAGCCGGGATAGGCGTTTTTGAGTTGGATGTCCAGGTCGGGGTCGTGGTCAGAATCGGTACCGTTTTTTGGATCGGATTTGGATCTTGAGAGTGTTAATCGGTCTTGGTGAGTTCTTGATGTAGGTGGAGATGCCGTTCGGTCGGGTTCAGGGGGTGGCGGTGAAGCCGATTCCGAGTCTGAGGTTGATGGCGCTTGTGGTACTGTATGTGTGGAATGGTGGCGTCGGCGCCGTTTTAGGCCTTGGCGGATTGGTTTCTGGAAATTGGTGGTTTTGTCCATGCGAAGGGAAATCGTGTAGTCTTTTGGTAGACGGGTTCCATGTAATCGGAGTCGGATTTTGCCCTAGGATGGACCTATTAGAATAATACCCACCTTGTTTGCAAAATTGAAACATACATTTTGAAATGCTTCGTGCAACTTTGCGCTATCAGACATCTGCTGTTCCAACGAAATAGATGCAGGAACAGATCCCTCATCGGAGATCTCAGACCTTGAATCATCCGTCTCAGGAGCAGACGGACCCTCCATCGGATAAGGCAGAACTTCATATTCGCCAGTATCCCAGATGATCATACTTCCCGTTTTATGAGAAGCCGTCTCAATAAGATGATTCTAAAACAGAGTCAGCAATCAAAGAATATATCAGTTGATGGCAGCAGTACCCATAAACAATGAATGCGAGTCTCAGTCGCATTCCGATTCAATTGCTTACTATTCGGATCACCCGGCATTCCATACATAACCGCCCAGCTGACAGAGCTCGTCTCTGAGATCTGTAGTCGGAGATCATAATGGGGACCTGCGACGGGGTGATCGTGTTGATGAATGACGAAGTGGCGGCCTTCTGGGTGTTCATTGCGTCTGTATAGATCGATCCATTCTCCAATCGGCAGTTGAGGGAATGGCTGATATGGGGGTGGACGCATGCATTGGTTCAACTTGGTGGATATAATCTTTAGATGGTCCTTCACTTGAACTTGGCCTGCTTCTATAGCGGCAAGACTTGGCGTGGTGTTTGACTGGCGCGCGTTGGATGAAAATGCGTTTCTTCCATCCTGACCTTTCCTGCCGTGGGATCCCTTTGGTGGCGGAGATACAGATGCACTTAAGCTTGCGAGGATTGGTCGCGTATTTCGAGATGCTTGTTCTTTCGGCTCATGCTCTGGGCTGTTTTCTCGGCTGCTTTCTGGGTTGCAGGCGCGCTTCATGATCTGCAAGTCAGATGGGATAGCGGTCTGCAAAGATCATGTGGCAGTTCAAGCCATCGTTCCTAAACTATGTAATGCCCAAAATTGAGATGTACTTGCGAAGAAGATTGGAAAGTTGATGTCGATCCGTTGCAGAGCTTAGTCATCGACAAACGGTGCGCCCATCACCTGGGCATGGTAAATTGAACATACGTTATTTAATCGTATACATGGCAAAGTCTTCGATACACATTTATCAACAGGCTGACACAAAGTAAGATCAATTCAACTGGTAAGTGGATATATATATTTAAGGATGGAGTCAATAGCTCGAAGGAATTCACACTGCTAACTCGCTAAATAACTATCTGAATCGCTTTAAAACTAAATGAGCATGCAGGGTCGAAGCTACCAATAAGAAGCATGAAAGATGAAAGATAAAACTTCCTGCAAGTATTCGATCTTTGTCTTCGTCCAGTAAAACACACCAATCTGTTCCGGAAGGGAACCCAGCCACAAGATCCCAGCTTGAAAACCCCTAAACCTCACGAGATCCAGGGGTATGAGGATTAACTTCCACGCTCTGTGGGTTATGGAAGACATCCTTCGGGTCGACGGCAGTCTTAATATTCTGAAGTCGACCGAGATTGGGTCCCCAATAGGCCTCCTGAGCGTGTTTGAGGTAAGGATCAACATATCCTGGGTAAGAACGCACAGGACCTGGTGGGCGGTTCCCAATGATCACTTCATGCAAGCGATTGAGGAACCGTTTCATGATAAAGCCCGGGGGCTCAAAGCCGGCGACTGCATATGACTGCATCCACATGATAGCATCGCGATGACCGTATGAGGTTGCATTCATGGGAACATCGTTGGTTGCTCCGCCTTCCAGGTCAAAGATCACCCACCAAGTGGGAGTACCCTTTGGTGCAGCATCCAGGTATGTGAATAAGGCAACCAGGTCATGCTCGGTGAACAGCTCGTCAGCCGTGAAGGACAATGACTTGGCGTAAAAAGAGGTGAGTACGCTGCCAGTGAGACGGAGCAAGTAATCCTCAGCCGTGTGAGCCAGCAAAGATAGCCAGTTGGTGATATATGCCACGTTCCCCATGCTTTGAAGAGGCAGATCGTTTTCCATCTCGAACTCTCGAAATTCATCCCTGGTCCCAAAGAAGGTGCCCATGATAATGATACCATCTTGAAAGACCGTGAGATCGGTGGAAAAGTTCCGAGTGAGGTTCGGCTTCGCCACAATATTCTGCCAGGCCATAAACAGCTTCACCTTGTCGAGCACATCCCCCTGACTGAAGGTATACTGGTATTGAATCGCAGCCTTGGGGATTTCATGAGTGCGAACTTTGAACTCCGTAATGATACCAAAGCTAGCAGCAGCACCTTTGATAGCCCAGAAAATGTCTTGGTTTTGTGTGTCCGATGCTGTCACCACACTGGAATTGGCCAACACGACTTCAGCCTCCACGACATGATCTAGCGACATTCCCCACTGTCGAGACATGAGACCAAGACCGCCGATGGTAAAGTGACCACCGACACCGACTTGTGGGCAAGACCCATGTGACATAGCCCGACCACCAGCATGCAGAAGACGATCCTGAAGATCGCCAAGGTTTGTACCGGCTCCAATCGTGGCAACGTGAGTATCGGGGTCCATAGAGAAAATTTGGAAGTTCTTCAGATCCACGACGACATGACCATCTGCTCCGCCGAGACCTGTCATGGACCCTATTAGCGTGTGCCGATTTCAGGTTCCAAATGTTCTCTACCGTAGTTCCCATAGCTGTGACCTCCACTGTAGGCCTGCACCTTGTAGTTCTGCGCAGCAGCACAACTCACGATCTGGGCTACCTGGGCTGTAGTCTTGGGGTAAGTGACCACGGTGGGATGGACTGGAATGGCCAGGTTGTAAGATGGCTCGATACGGAACTCGTATAGCAAGTCTCCTCGAAACGTGACGAGATTAGGGTCGCTTCCCACAGCGGCCACGAAGCATGCACGTCCGGCGACGCTGGCTGAGTTTCCCATCTTGCAAGTATATCAGAGATGGGATGTGAGATTTCGGGATGGGCCTGAGGGATGAAGAGGTCAAGTTCACAGCTCGGGAGAGAGCAGTGGGTTGAGGATGAGATCAAACAGGGCAACAGCAGGATGGCACCTGCCTGGTCTGCTGGACAGTTGACTTTTCATGTTGTGTTTGTGTTCCCAACCTGTCGACGTGTATACTTGGGTGACTTTCTCATCCTGGATTGTATTGCTGTATTGCTGGACGTTCTTCAAGACCCCCGGTGTTCTTCAGTTGCATTATTACTGCATACATCCAGTCCCCGAGCCAAAACATGGTTGTTTTATGCATCAACCTGTCATACTGACATGCAGGGACTCGTGTAACCATCTAACATCCATGCTGAAGACCGAATCACAATACTTTAAACAAACGAATGTATAAACAAATGTCCGGGGACAAGGAAGGAAATCGGGGATCACAACGGCGACTTGGATGGTCCCCGATCCGGCAATCCTTAAGGGGTGCAAGAATGCGCAAAGCCTAAATTCACCTTCTATGTTCCATTGCTTCTTTCAGACCCCTGTCCATTAAATCTACGATTCACCGGGTCTTCTCTACTTTCGTAGCCTTTGATACGCCAAATTGCCATTAAGCTCAATACAGCCTCAGACCGCACCTCCCGCTATGACATCAGGGAGAAAACTTTGATACCAACATCCGACTCGAGACAGCGAAAATACCATGTTCACGCCAGTCGACACAACCCTAGGTGCGCTATTACTATTCCAGGGGTCATCGGGCCTCTTGCTGCACAATGGCGCTGTGTTCGGCATCTCTTCCCTGCTGTCAGGGATCGCCTTCAACCCCAGTCGTGACAACGTGCCGATCATCGCGGGACTGGTGTCGAGTGTGGTGCCAGTCTATCTCTTCGCACCATCCCTGATCCCGAGTTATCCTGCGGCACCACATTCTTGGGCTTCTGCCGCTGCAACACTGGGGGTAGGCTTCTTGTTGGGTTGGGGAACCAAGGTGAGGAATAGTGGACCCACAACGTCGGGGATCACCAGTTGACATGGATTGAACAGAATGGTCGAGGCTGCACTTCCGGACACATGCTATGTGGCCTTTCTCGTCTTTCGCCCCGTTCGCTGATTGCAACGGCCGTTTTCTTCACGACTGCTTTACTCACCGCGAACTTTGTTGGTGGCGGTGCCAATATACCGGCTTGCGGTGCTACCCCGTGTTATACCCCAGTCTATCCATCAGGACCAGAGTTGGTTTTCATGGCTGGTGCAGTAATCCTAGCTGCGATCACAAACTTCGGCATCGTTCCTCGCAAAGTCCATCGGTCGGAGGAATCGAGGATTGCCTTTTCCTTCATAGCAGGGTTGGAGTTTGGGTTGGGTCTATTGATCTCTGGGATGGCTGACCCTGCCAAGGTCCTCCGATTCTTCGCCTTTTTGACGGAACCGTCTCGGTTTGATCCGTCGTTGGCGTTGATCATTTTGTTTGGAATCGGGCCATCTCTGTTCACTTATATGACCGAGAGACCGGGACAAGTGGTTGCAAAGCCTACTCTAGCAGAGAAATGGCGACTTCCAACAGCGACGGTGGCTGATATTGACTGGCGCTTTGTGGCTGGTGCAGCGGCCTTTGGGCTAGCTTGGGGCTTGAAGGGCGTTTGTCCAGGTCCTGCCGTCTTGCGAACAGTCCTGCAACCAACCTGGGGACTGGCAACGATGTCCGGATACATGCTGGGCAACCTTTTTTGAGAGCTTATGGAGACTGCTCAAATTGTGAACATATTATCTTCTTCCCATTAATTATCGGAGTCGGCGGTTCTCTGGTCCATTCAGTTGAAGGGGCGTTGGTTGCATGAGGGCGGTGCTCGAGAGGGGCAAAGGTTCAAATCTCTCAAAAGCTGTGTTCGGGCGTTATTAGCAGAAGAAAAGAAGTAATGACAAATATTTTGTACAGCGCCAGTTTGGCTGGGAATAGATGCAATTTGTCCTATAATAACTGCAGTGGGTATATAACGGCGGAAAAATGCGAGAATCAAGGGTCCAAGGGAAGTATGGTAAAACAAACGGAAGAATGGCTTACAACTCGGTCTTCTTATTCAAACGAATGGCTTCCGCCTCTGCAGAATCTTGGTCACTGCGACCCTTGATAGTTGCAGGGTGATCGAAATACCCTTCCAACTCCATCCATTCAGCAGCAAATGCGGTAACAAGCATGCCCCAATCTTCGACGGTTTCCGTATCCAAATGTTCACCGTCATCATCAATTGTGTGCCAGACAGAAGGGAAGCCCTTGAATGGAGCATAGTCGATGAGGTGGAGAACTTCGACTCCTTTGGCGAGGAAAGGAAGGTGATCATCCTGGATACCACCCATGGGTGTGAGCTTGTGGCCATCCTTCCCGGAATCAATGAACCATGAGTCAGTCGAGGAAGATTTGAATTGTTTCAGTGATTTGAAACGCTTTTCGAGGGCAGCCAAGTTTTGATAGGCCCAGTGGGTAGTCTCATAGTAAGATTGAATGGTTGGTGACTTCGAACCGAGGAGATCCAAAAGAACAAACAGAGAAATTGATGACAGCGGAGTCTTGAACTCCGACATCGCTGGGTAAAACTGATCATCCCAATGTGTCGCCAAAGCACGTGCACCATACAGGGAATCAGTGTCACTCCATTCTTTGAAGGCTTCCTCACCATCCAAGAAAATGACCTGGATGCCATGTGCGTCTTCAAGAGGCTCGTCGAGGCCCTGCTCCTTCATTGCGGACCATTTCTTCGCCAACGCAGCGTCAATGCTGCGCATTGCATGCATGATCATCGCACATGGGGCTGCACTATCGATACCTCCGATGAACCCTTTCGGCTCGATCTTGCTGTCATAATGGGCGACAAGAGTCAAGCGCTCGACGTCACCAGCCGAGGCCCAGGGAGGATCACGAGTTGCGATAAAGTTCCTAAAGGGAACTTCCTTGCCCTTAGATGTCGGTGTTTTGGCCGTTGAATTCTGCACCTCAATTGTCCATTCTGGCAGGGTGGTTCGAAAGAAGTCGGCAAAGTGATTAAGCACCGCGGTGGAGCCCGGAGTGCCAGGGACGCGGGTCCTTAGTATTGGTGACAACAAGGCGCCATTGTGAATGTCGAAGTCGTCGTTCGGCCGCGGAAGAGCATTTAAAGTCTCATTTGAGATCTTCTCGTATGCGTACACGCGTATAAGGAGCAAGAGAAGGCCCAGCCAAAGGGACACAATGCGGCTAGAGAGGCTGCGATAAGCCGGAGACATGGCGGTAGAAGAAAGTCGCGCTAAACATTCATAGCTTGCGCCAAAACATCGATATGGAAGAATGAGAGGCTTTTCCAGCCAGATAATTTATACCGATGATCTGGCAGCAATGCTAATGAGGAGTTGTCGGAGATGCAGGGGCTTATGCAAGCTCCAAACAGACCTCGGAGGCGGAGGCCAAGGCGGTCGCGATTTTGCCGGAAGATCGGCGCGGATTTATCGCGACAATCAACGTCCATATTCCACTCTTGTTCAATAACTCAGCCACAATGAGACTTAACATCTTGCTCCACCCTCAATTGCGCACGAACCTATCTGAATGCGCCCAGAGAGGCCTTCGGAGGAGCGTTTGGGTCCGGTTCAAGTCACAGATCCCCCGGCCCTCTCAGAAGCATCTGTCACCACTGCCGAAGAAAGAAACGGCTCCTGCTCCTCCGGTCAGAAGGACAGTTACACCTACAACTGGAACGAGTGCCTCGCCTAAACTAAGCACGAGGTCAGGTATGGGAAGCTTTTCGACACTGCGAGTACGCTTGCTGATCAATAGTTGCAGGGCCACCGGAACGGATATTGGTATACTATGGAGGCACAGGCAGAGCTATTTTCCTCGGTACTCTGCGTATTACGACAGTGCTTCTCTTCGGTGCAGCTTGTCTGATTGTTGCACCAGCATGCGCTGTGGCAGATTATCCATGGTATAGCGTTCCAGGCGGTCAGTTTCCTTCTATATTATGCGATCTCGACATCTGAACTAACTCGATCTTAGTAATCGCTGCCGGCGCTTTACCAATGCTGTTCGTTTCATATACTTCAGCTCCTTATGTGAATTTCATTCACCTGGCTTTGCCCGCCTTTGCCAGGAAGTCTCGAGAGGCGGCCATTCAATATGGAAAAGAGCTGCCTCCAACTGCTATGTTGTATCTCACCAGCATGAGGTTCAACACCATTCCACGACAGACAGCTGTGCGTCTCGGAGACCTTGTTCCAGCTCATGATCCCCTTCGCCCTGTTAGCTTCCGCAATTTGAACCCTATGCCGCAGCGGTGGTGGCAGGGGAGAGCTCCCACTCAATTCTATACGGGAGAACACTCCAAGCCTGGTCGACAAACGACTGCTTTCTTCCCAGAGCTATGGGGAAGTATATATCGACAAATTCAGACAGCAAAGTCCTCAACTCGATGATTAAATCTTAGCCGGACTTGATAGTTAGCCGCATCCAGGCCATATTCACCTTTGCTTCCACTCCATCTTATAGATCTTATATGGACTGTCTCATCTTTTGTCTTACTTCTATCCTTTGTACTCGACTCATATTGCATGTACTACACAAACACCTCTCGTATTGCTGCTCAGAACATAACTTTGTTCTAATGCTTCATTGAGATCGATGTGACTGAAATCGGTATCAGTTTCATATTTGAGAAGCCTCACCAGGTTACGAAAGCAGCAAATCAGTGAAGCGGCGTGTCATTTGGCGCATCAGATACGACTGTCAAGTGCTGTTCGCGCCCCCAATCCCCCACAGAAATTTACTATTCCTGGTTAGGTCTAATCTGCCCTAACTCGCCGACCAGTTCTTTCCAAATCTGACACAGAACCGCATAACAAATTCTGCCCTGATGAACACCGAACGTGACACCGCTTCCTTTGAACTGTGACGCGAAACGCAAAATAAATACTGCCTTTCGCCTCATGAGAACCTTTCCTCGTCGCATACCCTTCGTTTCTCCGTATTGAAGACCAATTTCTCCGATTCCTGCATTTTATCTTGCAATTACTTCATTTTATCAACCAATCCTCCTCGCTATCAGCAACCATGGCCCCCACCTCCAAAATCCCCCTCTACGATGGCCCCTTCAAAAACATGAACGAAACTGAGATGAAGCTCCTCGCCCTCGCTCATGTATTCGACAAAGGAAACGGACCCGTAAGTACTTGAGACACGAACCCCGCCTCTTTCCCGACGCTAATACGATATATCATACGTATAGGCCAACTACGAAGAGATGGCTAAGTGGACCGGCATCAAGGCGTCCTCTGCTGCAACCCTGTACCGTGGCGCCAAGCGCAAGCTCAACAAGTACATGGACGGCACCACCACCTCTACCACATCCACCACCTCGCCCACCAAGGCTGGCCCGGCTCCAAAGCGGGTCAAGAAGTCGACCGCTAAGACCGCCAAGGGCGTGGCCAAGGCAGAGGAGGAAGAAATTGTCGAGTGCCCCGCCGCCATCACCAAGCAGGAGTTCATTGATGACTCCGATGACGAGAAGCCCAACTTGCGTGCCTCCCGGATCGCCGTCGAGATTTCCACCTTGGCCGCCCAGTCTGTCGGCGACGCCTCCGACGCCACTACTGCGTCCATCAAGGCAGAGTAGATTTCCTACATTTTGTCTTTGCTGCAATTGAGATTGTTTTTGTTCCTGCGATGAAAGGAGGAGTTGAAATGGCAGTTGCCAGGGAGTTCAGAGGAATTGTGGAGTTTGTTGTGGGGAGGTGTACATCAAATAGCTAGCTCACACCATCCTGCATGAATGATCATCGCGGACTTGACTCTGGCCTACTTCATGCGATTGTAGGAGGAGTTTCATGGGTCACCATGAGGAAGAATGTAGCCAAAATATTACCCGAAGGCTTGAGCTACGTATTTAACCAGACGACAACAAAGCTCAGAGACTGGCGGGTTGACAGATTGTTCAGGGATGTTTTACATGAAGACAAAGCAAAATACAGTAGAGGGAATGAACCCGAAAAACATAGATACTCTAAAACACGCCTTTGTTGGCATTTCAGAGTGTCAACTTAAAGAGGGAGATCGGCCAGTAGGGAGGAGGTCGAAATAACCGCGGGATATAGTGCGTCGCCGGAAGGTTTAAAGTTTGCTGCCACGCATCCCTTCCCCACAGTTTATCATCCCACGATTGAGAATCAGGGTAAGTCAATAAGGTCGTCCATTATTACATATTCATTTACTAATACATACTAAACATCAGACAGAGCGAGGAAGTCCTCGGAGAGGGAGACATGCACCCATAACGAATTTTATCGAGCTCGTGTACATACATACGTCACAATCCATCGCTGGTTAACGGGACCCAACCACGATACACTCCAGATCAAGACAAACACAATGGTTCTTGGAATCCAAGTTACCGCATACGGGTACAAAGGAGAGCGAGGCAAAGAAAAGGAAGAACCTATTACAGAACGCAGGCCAATGCCAACTGTATGGACACTAGAGGCGAGAACCGACAAAGACAGAGAGCATCTAGCTTACGAATTACAAGGGTCATAGTAATGCATTATGAGCACAAGAAATGATGCAATACGACAAAGAGAATACTCTGTTACAGAAACGAAGCCGAAAAGCGAGAACCACAATTGGAAACAGGCGAATACCAAGATGTTCGAAGCGCAAAAAAAGAATCGTTCAATCGCATCTGCGGCAATCCAGAAACACAAGTGGAAATTGA